AAAGTCGTAGTCTCTACGGTTTTCTTTTTCCTTTGCCCCAATTCTTTGAGCATTCCACCCATTTTTACCTTAGAGATGATAGAAAATTAAGATATTTTGATAAATAAAATATTAGAAATTATAATAAAAAATTTTAAATAATTTTAATGAGTCAATACTAAATAAAAATTCATTAAAAATATTTGAATAATTTCACAAAGAACTTGATTTCTTTTTCAATTTTTGATTATATAATAAAAGGTAACCATCTCTCTCTCGTTCTTTAACTCACCCTATGTATATGTCATGCAATTTGAAATTAAAATATCTTATTTTACTAAAAAATTATTATTGAATTATTTAAATTGAAACAATTTTGATATTTTAAATATTAAGATACCCTAATTTTCATTTTTTCTTTTCTTTTCTTCAACCATTCCACGTATTTTACATGCACAATTTATGGCTTTCAATTCTAAAATCACGGAAAAAAAAAGGGAAATACTTTACTCTTTAGTCTGCAGGAAATTTTTGTTCATGGTTTCCACGATATCTGATTACAGAAGCATTTGGTTTCGGCGCGCCATGATGAGCTATCTGATAAAGATCTTTATCGTTATTACAGTTTCAGTAGTAACCCTTGTTCCATGAAATTGTCCATCCAGCACTTGTCGAGGATGTGATGTTGACACGGTTGCAAGCTATATTGTTCCAATTTCAAATTACTAGTATCAAGCTGGAATGATTTGATATCGGATGAAATTTCTTTTTACGGCAAAGTAAGCTTGATTAGAACTTCATTCTTGGTTTCAGATTGAAGACTTTGCATTCATGGATGAAGATTGAAGAGGATGTGAGATCTTCAATTCTTTTTATAATTGGCTAAATTTTCTTTCCAAGTTAGCGCAAGTCATGAGAAATTGCCCATTGAGGGACCAAAGAGAATAACATACTGAACTTCTGCATACTTTCTCAGCAGGATCCATAATCCAATCCTCGATGTCACATTAATGATTGAAGAGAAACAATGACTTGAATTTATAACACGATGTATGATTTCTATACCACATTGTTAACGTTGTTTTGAATTTTATGGTATGTTCAGACTAAGAAAAATGGAGAAGGGAAGACAAGGAAGTTTTTTATTTTATTTTGTTCTTTTAATTCATCAACTTATCCTTCCATTTCCTTTCTCTCCTCTTTCTTGCCTTTCATTCTCTTCAAACTCAAATGTACTGTTGGTTAAATCTTAATGGTTACATATAGCTGTTTTCTTGTTCTTCGTTACTTTGCCCCTAAATGTATTGTAAGTTACCTAACATAAATATTTCAAATGAATCATAGGTTCTGAAATAATTTTAGAAAAATATTTCATTCTCCGTTAAA